AAAGCTTGGTCACGGAACAACCCAGAAGCTCTCGCAATGCCCAAACAAGAGACGCGCTTCTCTCATCTGGGATTTCACCAGAGTTCAGCAGACGTGCGATGGAGGGCGCAAGTTCCAGCATGGCAATCAAGGGTTCGTTACGCTTTAGGCCAGGTCCGACCAGTGTTGGTCTGTCGAATTTGTTCATCAACTGGCACACGCTGCAGTCCTGGTTTAAGCACTGCTCTTCCACTCCCTCTGCGTCCCCACCTTCGTCGTCACATAGACAGTACGGGCAATTTTTAACGTTTTCGTCTTGCGAGGGGCGCACTGCTGGTTCCCCCAGGCACATGCAGTCTCGTTTAGAAGTGGTCCACAACCTGCACACTTTGGCTGCGACTGTTTGATCGCATATATCTTGGTAGCTCTCCTGTGCCGTACTCTGCCTCTCCTCCTTGGTAGCTTATGTGATCTACCGCGAAAGAAAGAAAAGGAAATGAAAAAATGGGTCCATCTAGTCTCCCAGTGACTCAGTTTAGCCAACCCCTTCTAAACCCAAGATCTCGTCGATAATTCTCCTTACTTTCTGACATACAGTTCTAATCAGGAATTGATGTTTAATCATTTCATAATTCCTTCATTGACTTGTTTCTGTTATTCTCACCACAGCTTACCAGTGTGGGGCCACAGGGCTGGTTGGCTCTCAAGAACTGTTCAAGCCTGTCCAGGGAAGTTCTCATTGGAAAGGCGCAAAGCCTGGATTCCTGGCAGGGCTGGCAGGGCTAGCAAGGCTCATCTAGGATCTCCTGCTGGGGGTGGAGGTGGCCTCTCCTGGCTCTTGGCCACTGATATGTAAGGTGCTTGTCTCCTGGGGGAGCACGGCCCACTGTGGAGTTGTCTGTTTCCTTCTCTGTCGATATCCCAAGGTGCCATTCTACTGGCCTTGCTGTTGCGGCTCTGTTCCTGTCCCAACCCTGACACCAGCGGTGGTAGACAAGAAACGCCAAACCAGGCTCTCCACATGCCTCCTGATGGCGGTGTTGTGTTCCTCTGTGCCGGTCCGCCTGGCAACAAGGTTTGCGACTCTCTTGCAATGTTCCAGCCAACCAACAATTGCGACTCTGCGTCAGAACTGCTTCCTGCCTTGTCATCCTCTGACTGTGGAGAAGACTGGAGCAGGAGCTGCTGCCAGCGATCTGTGGAGGTCCTTCTTGGGGCTTACGCTCGCTCAGCAGCCAGTGGTGTTAGGATCAAGAGGTCCAGGCCGAATCGCATCATCAGATCAACCAGGCGGGCCGGTTTGTTACGTTTGCCAGTATGCTTTATCGTACTGGTGCGAGCCAACATCAATTCGGATGTGGTTACTGTAGTTAGCCCCGGTCCCTCGATCATCGATCGCGAAGTAAAGGCAGCTATGTCTGTTGNTGAGCCGGCTGGTAGATGCGTGTTCCTGCCATGCTCTAATGGTGTTGTCGAGGGCCATGTGTGCAGCCGGGGAATCCCCCTCGACGGTCGAGCTGCCATCAAGAAACGCTTGGCTGTGGGAGAAAAAACAAAAAAAAACAAAAGAAACATCAGCGAGGGTACCCCACTAACGTGGAATTCTGGTGACTTTTGTTAGTAGATTCTCAGTTGTTTGTTTTGATTTGTTTCGTTTTTCTGGTTGTTCTTATACGTAACGAGTTTTTCCTTGTTTAAAATCCATGAACCCTTCCGCTCCCACGATGTCTGTCCGCTGAACAATTCTTATGGTGTCGGTGAGGAGAATTTCTATTCTTAGATATATTTTAGAATGACGTCGCTGGTCAACAGATTGTTATTATTACTGTCACTACTACTGATGTCATCGTCATGACAGTATCATTATCATTGTTGTTACCACGGTCGTCACTGGAGTGAAAGGGTTTATTATCATTCCAGAAACGCAATAGTTTGACCGTCAATCTTCAACTAATCAAGCCAAGTTAGCCCTCAAATGTCTCAGATATCCTTTATTAAGAACTAAACGATTGCCTTAACCCTTTGACTCCCTGAGGTGGTTTACATGTAACTTCTCCCTATATTATCCATACATTATCCAGTTAACTGGTGGTGAGAATACTACAATTTATTAGGCAGGTCCAAGAGGTTTCCTTGATTGAACACCAAATTCTGGTGACCAATTGACAAGTGTGACGATGTTTCGTTTGTTTTACATGAGGAGTTGTTAGCTGAGATATAAGTGTGTAGCCCGGATGAAAGCTAGCCTCCTACGCAGACGTTCTTTAGGCTCGTCACGCAATCTTTCTCCCCCACGAACATCTGCTGAAGCGAATGAGCACATTTCTTTCCCTTTGTTCAAACAGATCAGACGGAGAGCACGTGGAGATCACCGAAGAGCCAATTGGCGCTTGGTTATTGTTCAATAGAAAGCCAATCATAAGCTGTGATAGAACAACCCCCAAGAGGTGGTTTAATTTTCTCGCATTTCTTATTACTCATGGAAAACAGATCTAAAAACCTTGCTTTAGAAACTCCGAAAAAAACCGTCAGAAAGAACTGTTTTCTGTGCAGTCACGGTTTTCCGTTAATCCCGCAGGCGAGAATAAGAGTGTTTAGTAAGAGTGGATATTGCATACTTAATTGAATGCGCTGTGTAAACAGATTTGAGTGTGTTTTCTTCCAGCGACCCGTTCGTCTGCAATAAGTGCTACAAGCGGTTACTTCGTTTTGAAAAAGCTAAAACAAATCTGCGATCCCTTCAGGATGAGATAAAGGAAGACTTTAAGAAAGTAGCAAATAGAACGAAACGCTTACGTCGAAATTCCGCTGAAAAGGACGGGGTCATTGAGAACATTGACGTGCCGATCGAACCTACAACAACTTTACAAGTGCAGCAACGATCTGCAGCGAAATCTCTGAAATATGAACAATCCCCTACCACTTCTACTTCTTCTAACGCCGAAAATGATCGAACAATACGCGAAAGTTATGATATACTCGGTGGAAGCACTTGGCTAAAAATGCCCAGGAAACACCATCACGTCAACAAGTGAAAATTACTCAAGGTTCAAAGTTCGCTGCCTTGATCGGGAAGTGCGCTGTGATTAGTCTAATTAAACAACCCATTCGTTTCAGCAGACGTTCGTGGGGGAGGAAGATTGCGTGACGAGCCCAAAGAACGTCTGCGTAGGAGGCTAGATGAAAGCGTGTTCAGTTTTTATTTTATTCAAGTTGTCTTCACGTATCGAGTGTTTGTTCCTCACTGTCTTCGTTGAGTTCACCCGGCATTTCCGACAACGTTACAACCGAGGGAATGTGTAGCAGTTAGAGGGGAGAATTAACAATCAGATCTTGGGAGTCCAAGGCTTAATAGGGGTCCATTTCTGTGGTAACAGTTCATAAATAAAAGTTTTGACGTATCACAAAAATACACTTTCACCACAAAGAGTGAAACTTAGAGCTCCACTGTCTTCATAGAGGATACAATCCACGGTTTATCCATCTTTCGCGTGTCAAGCTGGGTTTTCAGCAAGTTATCGCCAACCATACCACGAACTTCACCTTGTAAATCATCAAGAGGGAGAAGCAAACCAAGACTACAAGAAAAGGACCTGACTATGGGTTTTTGCCCCACTCTTTGTAACACACGTGCAAAAAAGTCAAATATTGAACTGAAGTAGAGATACAAATCAAATAGAGTCATTTAGGAAGATTATGTATAGGATTGATACGTTCCTTAAACCATTCTTATATTAATGTACTACCTTTTCTGTGGTGCTATCTGGCAACATTCTGCGCCATTGTTTGCCTTTTTTCTTAATTCTTTTGCGTTAAAGTAATGAGTTAGTAAAAAAATGTTAATCTCTTATTCTAGTGTTCAAGCGTTTAATCGCTCCTCATTCGATATCCCGGAAAAAATGGCGATAAACTTACCAATGTTTTACCCTTAAAAATTTGAAATAGTTCTGATTAAAAGATATACTCCTCTCCTTAAGGCGTGCGACGAAACATAACGTCACATAACGTCACATAACGTCACTTGGCTAGTTTTGAATTTAACATTAAGTACACTCCATGCACAGACACACCACACTAAGTGTTTGAAATTATTAATTTTTGACTTGAAACGAACAAAATCTACGAGAGTTATGGATAAAGCTCTGAAAATTGCACATATGAATTACTGTGATCTTGGTCTGAATATCTCAATAACGTTACACAACTGAATGTCAATCAACTCATTTCTGGTATTGTTTTTGCCTTAACATTGAATTTAACTTTATTGAGATATTCAGACCGAGAAATAATCTAAAAATGCAATTTTCAGAGCTTTATTTATAACTCTCTTAGATTTTGTTAGTTTCATGTCACCTTGAACTATTAACCCTGAACACATAGTGGTCTGCTTATGCTCCATGTAAGGGTGAAAATGTAGGACAAAACTACTATCATATCAACCAGCAAAGCTCATTTCTTCATATACTTTCATTCACAAATGCAAGTGATTTTGGGAATGTCATGTATGCGGCTAACCAACCTCCAAAGTGAGCATGTAAAGATGAAACAATTTTTAGTGTAATAGAAAAATCCGAGCCCCAGATGGGACTTGAACCATGGTTGGCCGCATCTTGATATGCTGTAATGTGACAGCGTGATGCCGTTAGTGAGTTTCAAAGGGGCTTACCAATACTTGGCTGTGTAGCTGCACGATGCGGTTCCAGTCGAGGCCCACAAATTGACCCTTGCTCACCATAGAGTCTCCAGTAGCTCAGTGGTTAGATCATCCGACTAGATCACGGAGGGTCGTGGGTTCAAGTCCCATCTGGGGCTCGGATTTTTTCTATTA